AATAATATAAATAAATTATAAAAAACTTAATTAATGTATATACAATAAAATCTAAAAGGAAAAATTTGTAAATTAATAATTTTATAAATTAACAAAATAGTATAGCCCCAATATTATTAATTTATAAAATTTTACTATTAATGGCATAATTAACTTAATATTCACGTAAAATTCACTATTTACCCCTAACCCTTACTAATTATCAACATTAATCAACAGCTAGCAAGTATTATAACTAGTAATGTGCGTGCATATTCTCTCGCTAAAGAGGCAAGAAACATCGGTATACTTTTTACCCATATAGATCAGATCCAGATGGACATAGCGTCTCTTCGTAACGTCTGAGGCTCGTATACCACTTGATCTCTAAAGATGGAAGTTGACAAAAAGAATTTACCATGTGTCGCGATTATGTTTAATTAGCAAATTTGAAAATTAAATTTATATAATAAGATTCCTCCTTAATAACTTAACCTAAGTGTCCAGCCCATTTAAAAATCCATAACATCCATGAAGAGAAGATGTGAAAATGGGCTGACCAAAAAAAAAACTAAACCTATTTTTTAGTATTTCTTGAATCTATACTATTATTTGCGAAGTGATTTTTCTCAATGGAGCTCTCACGTTAAAAGTTGGAGTGGTTAATATCGATTCTACCCTTAATGAATAAACTATATAAATTAATTATATATAAAAACGAATTTTAATTTATTTTATTAGATAATTTATTTTAATCAATAACAATAAGAGTTATCCAAAATCAAAAATATATTTTANTTGAAAATGATTTTTAATTAGTAATATATTTACTAACAAATATTTATAAAAAGCTTAAGCAAAGTAATTTTTCGTAACGGGGCTCCCACGTTAAAAGTTAGCGCGGTTAATATCGTTTATATCATTAATGAATAAATTCTAAACAAAAACGAATTTAAATTTATTTTATTAGATAAGTTATTTTAAACAATAACAATAAAAGTTATCCAAATCCAAAAATATATTTTATTTTAAACAGATAATTCATATATATATTGTATTGCTATCTCAAAGCTATCTTTGATAAAATATTTAAAAATTCAAAAACAGAAAATAAATAATTAAATATTAATTAATTAAAATTATAATTTTTTATAAGTTATTTTTCGCAATGGAGCTCTCACGTTAAAAGTTGGAGTGATTAATATCGATTATACTCTTAATGAGTAAATTATATAAATTAATTATATATAAAAACGAATTTTAATTTATTTTATTAGATAATTTATTTTAATCAATAACAATAAGAGTTATCCAAAATCAAAAATATATTTTATTTTAAAAAGATAATTCCTATATATATTGTATTGTTATCTAAAACTATCTTTTATAAAATATTTAAAAATTCAAAAACAGAAACAAAAATTAAATATTAATTAATTAAAATTCTTAATTTTATATAATTGAAAAAATAATATTGAATCATTTTTAATAAAAATAAAAATTTTGAAAATGATTTTTAATTAGTAATATATTTACTAACAAATATTTGTTTCTTTAAAATTTAAGAATAGTGTTAGTTTTGTCTACTGAATTACTTACGTTAAAAGTTAGCGCGGTTAATATCGTTTATATCATTAATGAATAAATTATATAAATTAATTATATATAAAACGAATTTAAATTTATTTTAATAGATANAAATTTTGAAAATGATTTTTAATTAGTAATATATTTACTAACAAATATTTGTTTCTTTAAAATTTAAGAATAGTGTTAGTTTTGTCTACTGAATTACTTACGTTAAAAGTTAGCGCGGTTAATATCGTTTATATCATTAATGAATAAATTATATAAATTAATTATATATAAAACGAATTTAAATTTATTTTAATAGATAAGTTATTTTAAACAATAACAATAAGAGTTATCCAAATCCAAAAATATATTTTATTTTAAACAGATAATTCATATATATATTGTATTGTTATCTGAAAGCTATCTTTGATAAAATATTTAAAAATTCAAAACAGAAAATAAATAATTAAATATTAATTAATTAAAATTCATAATTTTTTATAAATGAAAAAATAATATTTGAATAATTTTAAGATTAAAAATTTTCAAAATGAAAACACAAACAATAATATATGCTTATAATTTTAATTAGTAATATATTTAATTAATATATATAATTATAAAATACTTAAGCCCGCATGGCGGGCAAAACACCTAGTTCTAAGTATTCTTGTAAAATATCTAAGTAATCTAGAAAGGTATGAAATCTTGTAGAATAATCTTAAGGGGTATGAAATCGTGTAGATAATTTTAAGAGGTATGAAATCATGTAGATAATCTTAAGGGGTAGAAATACATGGAAACTCAAGGTTAAATGGGTAAGCATTCTTCATGTGTTAGATCAGTTTGATCTCAGCCGTCCATCAAGGAAAGTGGAATGTGTATATAAAGGGGTGATACTTCATTGTAAATCATCAAAACAAACTTTCTTCTTAATTTTGGCTCTCTTTGTAGACTTTTAAAATTTTGTGTTCTGCCTTGTTTCGAGAAGAAAAATGGGCCAAAAGCTCCACGCTCTTATGTTCCCATGGTTTGCCTTTGGTCACTTTACTCCATACTTGCATCTAGCCAACAAGTTAGCTGAGAAAGGTCATAGAGTTACTTTCTTGCTGCCCAAGAAAGCTAAGAAACAATTAGAACCTCTCAATCAATTCCCAGACAGGATAGTCTTACTTCCTATTACTATTCCTCATGTTGATGGTCTCCCTGCTGGCGCGGAGACCCCCTCGGACATCCCCATCGCGTTGTGGAAGTTCTTGATCGTAGCCATAGATCTGACACGTGATCAAGTCGAAGTCGCGGTTCGTGCTTCGAGACCGGACCTGATCTTGTTCGATTATGCTTACTGGGTTCCAGAAGTTGCAAAAGAGCATGGAGTAAAGAGTATGATGTACAACGTGATATCAGCTACATGTATTGCTCATGACCTTGTCCCTGGTGGTGCATTAGGAGTTCCTCCACCTGGCTATCCATCATCTAAGTTGTTGTTCCGTGGACATGATGCTCACGCCTTGTTGTCATTCTCCGTTTACTACAAGAGGTTTTACAATCGGTTTACCACTAGTCTTAGGAATTGTGATTTCATTTCGGTTAGGACATGTGGAGAAATTGAAGGTAAATTTTGCGACTATATAGGGAGTCAGTACAAGAAGAATATTCTTTTGACGGGTCCAATGCTTCCTGAGCTAGACAGAAGTCAACCACTTGAAGACAAATGGAATCATTGGTTGAGCGGGTTTGGACCGGGGTCTGTAGTGTATTGTGCACTAGGCAGCCAAATCACTCTAGAGAAAGACCAATTCCAAGAACTATGTTTAGGAATGGAGCTCACTGGTTTGCCGTTTTTTGTAGCGGTAACGCCACCAAAAGGTGCAAAGACGATTCAAGAAGCCTTACCAGAAGGGTTCGAGGAGAGGGTAAAGGGTCGTGGAATAGTTTGGGGAGAATGGGTACAACAACCGTTGATATTGGCTCATCCATCAGTGGGATGTTTTGTGAGCCATTGTGGATTTGGGTCAATGTGGGAGTCTTTAATGAGTGATTGCCAGATAGTCTTGATTCCATATTTGGCTGATCAAGTTCTCAACGCGAGATTGTTGACTGAGGAACTTGAGGTTGCGGTTGAAGTAGAAAGAGAAGAAACAGGATGGTTCTCCAAGGAGAACTTGAGTGTTGCGGTCAACTCTGTGATGGAGAGAGATAGTGAGATCGGGAGTTTGGTGAGGAGGAACCACTCCAAGTTGAAGGAGCTTGTGGTTAGTCCTGGATTGTTAACTGGTTACACTGATAATTTTGTTGAGACTTTGGAGAATCTACTCAAGGATACAAAACTACAATGAATTAGTTTACCTTGAGAAGAAGTACGTAGCAGTTGTTTCAAATAATGCAATAATATAATTTAACTCAACAATAATATAATTTATATAATTTCGGTTTTTATATAATTTATGAACTCATTTGCGGTATGCTTTCCCCATCTCCTTTAAGAACATTATACAAATTTCCATAACAAAAAAAAAGAGTTGCCTTTAAAAATCTCGAAATACATTAACAAAAAAATTAAGCAAATTATAAGCCGCAAGTTAATTGTAAACAGATATATTATCAATTCAAAAATCATTGGAATAAATTATTTTCATGCTTTTGAAATATTTAATAATTAATTAAATATTGGTTTTTATATAACTAAAATTTTATTTTAGTGAGATATCTTTTATTACATAAAATAAACTTGAAAATGTCAATATATACATGGTTTAAATTTATCTTTAAAATATTAAGATGTAAATTAGTTTTTAGATAATAATTATTATCAAATTAATGAAATTTGTTTTTAACTTATGAGTAATTATATATTAATCTTCAGACATGAAAAATACAAGACATGAAAAATACAAGATTTGATGTTTGAATGATTTAGAAAAATAAAAGACAAAGACACGAACTCAATTCCAAACAACTCAATATATGGGTTGAGGTGGAATATGGTACGGGGCACAGTTGGTAGAATTTTCACTGAGGATGGTTGAATTTTCACGAGATGTGATCATATCTATAAACAAGCAGTGTTTGATTATTCAACTAAAACGTTTACTTTTTTTATTTATAAACCGTCAACTCTCACAATCAAGACGAGACAAAGACGCACGAGACCACATATTAAAACGATGCACCAGACATAAAGGACAGTTTAAATATCACATGGCATTTAACAAACCGTGTTAATACTTTAGCAGCTAGCTGTTCAAATCCAAAACCAACTATGTGGACATACGTAGCCGGTTTTCAAATTTGTACTAGTTAAATGTGTGTTCATTAAAAAACAAAAGTGAAGTCAAGTGCATACTAATTAGCTAAAGAGAATCCTTTTTTTTTTTTAAAACGCAGCCAAAGAGAATCAAATTTACATTTTCTTCAATCAACATCACCCTTTACGTACTCTTGATGGCTTGTTATGTCTCTATCGTTTATTTAATTCTAATAATGTCCTTACAAAGCTTTAGGAACGAGACTCGTAAACTTTATGCTTTCATTAGGTTTAGGAGTAGACTTGTAGACGTGAGACCCAAATTGCAGCTGATATACGTCCAATAAACTAACGCTCTCAGGCACGGGGCTCGAGGTACTCTGTGATTCAATACTCTCCGGCGCCGGCGACGCGTTTTCTCGCCGGCGCTGGTCACTCCCGACGATGTCGTCCTCTGCATTCATCTCCCTACTCGTTTCTCGCTTCAGTTCTCGTGTGCTAAGGATTCGTAGCCTTTTTCTAAGCGGAGAAAGGGGTCTCCGACGGAGACATGAGCTTCGGTTCCTTGTCTTCACGGTAGTTCTCCTTACGGCTCTTCCTTTTTGGTGGGTCTTCTCCCCAACGATGAGTCGAGAGGGTTCTCTCACCACCGTTGTACTCTGGTTCACGGGAGCGCTTCCCGGTGAATCTCCTTGTGGCTGTCGACGGACGAGCCACACCGTCAACTTAGTCCGTGCTCTTCAGTTGTTGATGGAGTTCAGATCTCAACGTTCAAGCTTTCACTTTTCGCCTCCGGGAAGTGAGACAACAAAACAACCGCGTGGTGCTCCTCTTCCTCTTTACGACGCCATATCCCAAGACATCTCAAGCCTAAATCTGAATCTAATCGGTGGCTATTCACCTTCCTCGTCTCTAAGCTTTGATGGTAACTGGGATTACTCCGGTGAACCCGTCTCTCCACCGGCGAGTACCTCAAGCAATGTCATCTGCACCGCCTCCAACCTTCAACCTAGATCCACGACGTCTCCGGCGTGTTTTTTGACTTCTGGAACAAGATCTATATCTAAGTGGGCCTGGCCCAACTCTTTTGCTGAAGCTCCTAATCCAGTTATCAAGTTTCAAAATCCAGGTTTATCAAACCAAAGCGTGAGATTAGATGTGGGTTTGATTTCTTTGGATAATTTAAAGATCTCCTATGGGTTCATTGGAGTCTATAATCTGAAATTATTGCAATATCACTTCTTTAGGAAGAATTTTTCAAGGGGTCTAACGATTATGCTATTGTTTTCATCATCCTCCTATGATAAGGAGTGTTCTTCATACCTTACTTCTATGAACGGAGATGTCCTCTCGGGTGTTATCCCGAGCTTTTGTTTCAACTTACTCACCGGTTTGTCACCTTGTGTAGCGGTCTGTACGGGGCCAGAAGGTACAATCGAGATTACTTCGGTTTTTCTCGTTGGTGAGGGTTGTCCCTCAACGTCACTTGTGACTATTTCTCAACTGTCCGACTTTGTCGTGAAGGATTTCCGGACGCATTCAAACTTTGTCTTGAATCTGCTGTCATCTTCATATGAAAACTTATCTTGTCTGATGTCATTTCTCTTTGTAGTTTATGATTTGTTTCCAAGAGGATGCTTAATTCCCTCATGTCATTGTAGTCCTTGAAGTTATGTTTAATGGAAGTTGTGTTCAAAAAAAAAAAAAATACGTCCAATAAACTATCATAGTTTTTGATCAAAAAAGAAAAACTATAATAGTTTAAATATTATTTTGTATTGTATGCAGTGAAAACACGAATACAATGGTTAGCCGTATCTCTTTTGGAGGAGAAACTGAATCTTTTGTTATCATACGCTGGTCCATGTGGTAAAAGAGATTATGAACTGAAAAAAAAAAATCAAGATTGAAAACTACCACTGAGATCCAAAAATTAAACACATAACCCGAAACACTCCTCAAGAACTTTGGTCTTATGGGGAACTTTCACCAAAAGAAACTAATACAAAGTTTGTTTTGGCTGTATGTTTATGTAAACTCAAACCAAAAAAGAATAGTGAAACTTATGATGATGAAAATTAGTTTTGATCATCCAAAAACTCTCTGAAAAGCTTCAAAATATCAACAAAAGTAACCATACCAACCAAACAACCATCTTCATCAACCACCCACACATAACTCACTCTACGAGCAATCGCTTGTATCATCACCGCCATCAACGAGCTCTTCCGATTACACACTATCGCCACCGACTTCCTCGCCATCCTCGCCGCGCTACTCACCGATCTCCCATACGACGACTTCGTTCTCCCCGCCGGAGCCTCTTCGTCCGATGAAGAAGACCCCGACGACGAAGACAAAGAGTCCACCAGCGAGATCAAACCCACCAAACCTTTCTCCTCAAGACGATTCCTAACCACTCTCACAAGACTCTCCGGCGGACCGCCACCGTCAATGTACGTCATTAAATCACCGGCCGAGAGTGTAGCAAGCGCCGCTGCCGCCGACTCGTCGCAGCAAGCGAGCGTCATCGGCGATATCTCCCCGATTAGCACCGTACGCGGGTCTTCTCCATCGCATTCTCCGTCGACCACCGCGACGGAGATGTTATCGGCGATGGCGTTGGAAATGGCGGTGACGGCGGAGGCGGCGGAGGAGTAGTAATCCACGGAGAGGATTTTGTGCGTGCTGTTGATCACGCCGAGGTCGGAGATAGAGAGGGATGGTAATGGAGAGAAGACGCTGATGGAATCTAGAAGGAATCTGATGATGTCTTCTTGTGTGATCCAACAGAACTGGTTGTTGTTCTTGTGATGAGTTGCTGTTGTTGTTGTTAGTGAAACGACAGCGTTTCGGGTTTGTTTTCTCTTTGTGTTTGGTTTTGTCTGAATCGGAACAATCAGATTCTGTGCTCCTCCGGTTATCAAATCAATCGCTTCAATTAACCTAAATATCAAAATCAAATCTCATGAACACAAAAAAAAAAATAATAATAATTGAGATTTGTTTTTATTTAATTGAGATTTGTTTTTTTATTTAATTGAGATTTGGTGACGTACTTGCAGTTAGATTGGACATGAACAACGATGGAACGAGATTTGGGAAGAAGAACAGAGACAGAAGCGTTAAAAGCAGAGGAAAGAGACAAAGCCTTGTTGTTGTCTGATTTAGTTAGGTAACAGATCACATCCGCCATAGAGATCTTACCCACACACTCGCATTCGCACTTGTTGTTATTATCATCATCATTGGTTTCGTCGTGATTACAACTCCATACGCTGATGAAAGGCTCGTCGTAGGATTTGAGGGCGGCGATGGCGTCAGAGACCGTGGCTGTGACGGCAGAGAGACACCGTAGCGGTGGTTTGCCGATGCAGAGATCGGATACCTCGTGAGACAAAAGGGTTAGGGCCATACAAAGAAAGAATTAAAATTTGGGTTCGCGAGGAGAATGTGAGGGAGAACGAGAGAAAAGGAGAGAGTGTGTTTTTTAAAGGAAAAGAAGAGGTGGGTACGGTGTTAAAGTACATGTACACAGTAGGAAGCTCTGTTAAAGGCTGCTTGATCTATGGTTGTGTACAGATAGATTTTATACCTTTTCTGTTTGTTGTGTTGTGCTCGTGACAGGTAGATTATTTTTTTTTTACTATTAATGTTTTAGAATTTAATTTAATATATGTCAAAAATGCTGACAAATGATATTAGTGTTTTATTTTGTAGCCAATGAAAAAGTTTGCACTAACAATGTATAACTAATCTGCATAATAAAAATTGGTATATTCCTTTTTAATGAAAAATTGGAATATTCTGGATACTAAATTCAAGATTAATGTGAAAGGAAATTTTAAGCAAAAAAAAAAGATTAATGTAAAATCAGTTTCCTATTGAACAACATGTTTTACCTTTGCAAAATTACCAGATTTTATGTCCTGTTTCAAGAAAAAAAATACAAAATAATCCAGGTGGACCTAGGTGGAACAAGTGCCACATACAAAGAAAAATTACTTTCATCAGTTTTATTGAAAATTGAGGAATTTAAATAGTTTAATCTCTAATGCTTCATGCACCTTTGGTTAAATCTTTGTTATTTAATATGGTATGCCCAATGCTTGTAGTATTTGCTGGATCCGCCCCTTTGGACTTTCTCTTTTATTGACATGATGCGAATGAAAATAATAAAGAAATAAAAATGTTATATATAGAAGAATCGTATATTTCCCTTCAATCTTCTATATTGTATATAATAAAGTGGAATATTCTCTTATTTTCATTAAAAAAATACTGATTTAATTAGATCCGTTATAAAAGGAACAGAAAACTCCTAAAAAGGACCAATTTGAGAATTGTATATAAAAGAGAAATACACAATACATATCACAAAAAGATTTGAAAATGTAAACAAGAGACGATTACGAAAGTAAAAACGTAAAAAAAAAAAAAAAAAAAAAAAAAAAA